TCCGCGCTCGTGAGTTGTATTCAACTCCCTTTGGTATTTATTAGTTTCTAAACTTTTTTCTCCTTCTCGAACTGGCGTGAGCAGCGAAGAACGAGACTGCATCAAATTAATGGGTATACACAGAACCAATCAAGAAACATGATAAATACCGTCATTTTCCAAAGCCTTGGTAGGGAAACAGGATTTTTTCCTAAGAATGGCGCATCAAAAATGTCGCGCCTCTGCAAGATCGCCTATAGGTATCCTCTCGCCCAGACTCTAGCCGTTTAGCAGAGAGAGCGTAAGCTTTGAAGAGGGCAACATCGATGAGAGTCGCATCAGTGCGGAAATCAACGGGCAAGGAAGGGGTCCATTTCTCGGGTTCTGAGCCGTTTCTCATGGTTTTTCTTCATCTCTGCGCCACTGGCCACCTCCCTCCATTTCTCACGGCTACCTTTTCTCGTAATCTATTTCTGAAAGTGGCTATTTTAAAAAAAAAAAAAACTCAGAGTAACCTGAAAAGGAGCCCATTGCCGGATGAGATTATTTTTTACTAGTTTGACTCCGCTCGCTACCTCGCCCCTATCAAAGTAGGCATTACTGTAAATGAACACAGCCGAGCTCTTGTATTAAAGGAAGTGGTCACGATAATTTTCATGGGAACGATAAGGGAAGCTATGTATTGGAGTGGATAGGGTCCTGCCCAATGTTAGAACACGTGAAGTTTCAGTGGCAGTGGCGCCTTATCAACGGAGTGATAAGGCGCCGAAATCCACTTCCGTTCAGCAAAAACCAAGACTTATCGATGTGGAAAGGGGTGCGATAAGAGCGTGCTAGATATGATACCGTTATCGTTATCGTCCCGTTTTCATTCTGGAGTGCACCTCTTATCAAGCAGCCGCACCTTCTTATCTCATCGTATCATATCTTCCATGGGCTTACACTCGTCCAAACAATTACTGCCTCACACCTTATCGATTGATAACGCGAGGGTAGCAAATCCAGCGTGGAAGCCAGCGCGTGACTGCTTCCTTTAAACAGGCAATCCTTCGCTTCTTTGCCCTTTGACGATTTGATTAACGAACATTTTATAAGCTCTGTGATTAACGCACGCGCCATTTCATACACTCGTCAAAATACAGCCGGCACCCCACTACCACGCCCCAATCAAAAAAAAAACTACCATTTTGTAGCTTCGAAGAAGCTTGGATTAACCGACAACAACCTACTGAGCTGCCACGTCAGGCCATTAAGCGAAAACAAACTACCAATGGTTCGGCATGCTTGACGCTAGCGGTTGAATAGTTTCGTCCAGTGCAAGGTATGGCACACATCAGAAACATCCACAGAATCAGCGTCCGTAATACCTACCATTCTTGTGAAGGGTAGAGATCATAGTAGGTTTGTCGAAAAGAATTCGACATGTGCGACGACACAGCAAATGACAGTGGATGCTTCCTCATCGGCTAGGATACAAACTTCAAGAACCCCTGACTCAAGCCCTCTCAATTCACAGCCTATAGTACCACTGCCTGCACTAGCCTCCCCCCCTACCCGCCCGCGCCCCCCCCCAGGGTCGGTCCTATCGTTGCTACTTTTCGAAAAATTTTTACGACCCCCCTCCCCAAAGGTGGATTTGGTACGACCCCCTTCTCGACCCTCGACCACCATATTCCTCGCTATAGTATTTCATTCTGGTATCACTCAACCCACCAAACCCCGCCCACTTTTTCCTCCAAAAATGCCGTCGAGCGGGGGTATAGTCACTGCTGCAAATTCTCCCCGGGCGTCCCACAGTCCTCACTCATACTCAATGCATACTCCTTACAATCGAAGTCACCAGCCCCCCCCCTCCTACACAAACTCGATCAAAAATAACGGACCCCCCCTCGTACAACATCACCAAATCAAAAATACGAACCCCCTGTTGCTACTTGGAGGCAACATAAGGGTTCGACTCGCTGCCCCCCACCGTGCCTCCCCACCCACCCCCACATACTGCTTCCTCCCACCATCTAGCATCAATGCCTCTCGGACAGCAACCTTAAATCAGCTGGCCCGCGCACTAACGATTTCGTGACACTTTCTCCTAACGCCTCTTATCGGATCTTATCAGCCGTTATCACCTCCTGTCTTCCGGCGAATATGTTCCGTCTCTCTCCCTATATTATATCATAGAATTAACTCCTGACGACTGCTAGTCACGCGCGCTACTGATTCGTGAACACACATATATATATATATATATATATATATATATATATATATATATATATATATATATATATATATATATATATATATATATATATATATATATATATATATATATATATATATATATATATATATATATATATATATATATATATATATATATATATATATATATATATATATATATATATATATATATATATATATATATATATATATATATATATATATATATATATATATATATATATATATATATATATATATATATATATATATATATATATATATATATATATATATATATATATATATATATATATATATATATATATATATATATATATATATATATATATATATATATATATATATATATATATATATATATATATATATATATATATATATATATATATATATATATATATAATATATATATATAAATATTAGATATATATATATATAGCTATCGGGCGCGCTATTATAAGTCCAGGATAGAGTAAAGGCGGCGAATCTTACACGTCTCAAGAAAAGAAATTGTAATCACTTTAGAGGAAATTTGTCAAAGATTCATCATAGTTAACGTGCATACGTAAGCGTGTCTGTCCCATCTGAAAGTGGCAACTTTGTGAGCCACTCTTTATACTAACCTTCCGATTCATCATGACATAATACTATGTAGAACTTGAAAAAATTGCCTAGGACCCTTTTTGCTTCGCACGAGCGTGGGACGGCACGTCCCGTGAATACACTCTCAGAACATCATAGGAATGCCGCCGTGATACCGCTCAACCTAGCCTTATTTGCCCACCCTCACTCTGTTTGGCGATAATCATTTTCTGTTAGGTCTCCCTAACACCTGCGTGGGAGTGTTTGCCAAACTAGGATCAACAATCACTAACATTCATTTAGAGAAAAAGCAACGATACCGGAACACTTGAGAAAATTTTGCTCAAGCCACACTCGGTGAGATAAAGAGGGTGAGATGAAACGACTAGATAGCCTAACGCAGGCTTTCCACATACTAGTACTCGACGCGATATGCGACTTCGGATATTATCTATATAAACGGATTCGCAGTGTAGTGAGTGGGGGCGGTCAGGAGGTAATCGCGACACATAGAAGTTTGCCGGCCAACAACAGTGAAGATCGGAGTAAGCAATACGACCTCTCGATCATTCTGTTTTCGTGAAGAACGAGAACTGGAAATGGAATTGCGAGGGTGATCGATTTTTTAATCCCAACCCCTCCTCCCCACCCACTGGGCCACTGCTTCCTTAGCTTGTTTTGAAGGCCGAGTTGGGCCGCTAATCAAAGGGTCTTGCTTCAACTGCAAAAAAGTGTGAGAGCGAGCTGGCAAGCACACACTGTTGCGCTTTCTGATGGTCTTCTTACGAGGAATGGTCAATTGGTCAGTCCGGCCGTTTGAAATGAGATGTAGTCCAATGGACGCGTCTTGCGACGCTGAGCTCAAATCCGTTTTCGTTATCTGCGGAACGATTCTCTGAGAGAAGTTAGGGGGATTTTTCTCTTTGTGACTTTCCCACTGTGGCACCCTCTACATCACCTTAGCTCTTTCTTTATTTCCTGTGCAACTGCGAAAAGCTGTTTTGTTTTGATCACCATGTGAAGAACTATCACATATGCTCACGAATTATTGAAATTTTGTATATTTACGAGCCTGTGTCCTTGTGTTTTGTCCCGTGTGTCAAAGTTCATCATAATAGAAAACCTAAAAAGACGGACGAGAGGAAAATTCCAAAGTCTGTCTCAGCCACATGTCAAGTGGGGACGCAAATCAACAAAATAACCAAATATAGACACTTTTTGGGCTCGTATGAGAAGCCATGAAAAAATGCAAAAACTTGCGTTCTATGGATCCGATCCTGTGACCTCTCCCGTATGAGTCTAGGGAGATATCCATTAGGCCACTTTGCCAACTGTGTGAGATGCTCTCTGGCTCTTCTTATGCGAACCGTGTAGGACAGGGGAATGTAGAGGATGCCACAGTGAAAAAAGCCATAGTGAGAAGATCCCCTCGTAACTTCTTTCAGAGAATCGTTCCGCAGATAACGAAAACGGATTTGAGCTCAGCGTCGCAAGACGCGTCCATTGGACTACATCTCATTATAAATGGCCGGACTGACCAGTTGAGCATTCCTCGTAAGTTCTCTCTAGGAGAAAAGAAAGAAAGAAGGATGTCTGTAATATTGTGGACATGTGAAGCTCCAGACCTCACTAAAACGCGACACGCCCTGTCGCGTTGACACAGAGTCCTGCAGACCGTCGGAGACCAGTTATAATCACTCACACCCCGCCCCAATTGTCCCTCTCCAAGCAGGTGACTCATCGCTTGAGATGTGTTCCTGCGCCCGGCACGACCTCGAGAGTTCTCTGCCCGGTCAGTAAACAAACTCTCGACGGAACAATCACGATCTGTAGCATGATGTGGTCACTCTCGCAAACTACATTCTCAGCAGTGTAGACAGAGCTATGGTTCGAGGAAATCCTCGAACCGTAGTCACCCTGCTCCAAGCGCTTGAAGCGCAAAGGGAAAGGGCGACCAAGGGGAGAAGTGGGAAAAGAAGAGGTGATAGTGCCAAATACCACCAAAGAAAAGGGACGAAGATGCCTACGAATCGGTTATTCCTGTCAGGGATGCTGGTCGATACGACTTCGACACAACCTCAGAATACGACCCAGCGCCTGTGCGTCCAAAAAACCGTAAATAGCGGACCGCCTCTCGTCTGACTCGGTCCACGGACGAATCACCACTCCCCGCTTCCCAGTCGCGTAACTCGATGACCGGAAATCAGAAGAATCTGCGGTATTTTATAAACCGCTAGAGGTGTGCCGATTGTGCAATGTATGTGTGTCTGATCTATACGTACATAGGTATGCATGTCTGTAACGTATGTATGTCCGTACTGTTCGTCCGCAAAGGGTTGGTGTCACAGGAGGAAGGGACCATATCGGAAGATAGAGAACCTTGCGCCAGGGTCAAGCGTGCGTTGAGGAATCCTCGACACGTCGCAGGAGGGGGGGTCGTATTGGCCCGCTGGGTGGAAGAGATCGAGCCATTTTGATGCAGTGGGATCATCACCGTCGGAGGACAAATATCAAGGATGAGTCGATGCCAGGCCAGAGGATTTCCAATGAAAATGATATTTCACCCACACAAAATTTTCTGATTCTGAGGCGTCCGGTAATCTTAGGACTTCATATGGGGAGTGTTGCATCGCCCTGCCGGGATGTTGTCGAAGCCTCGCCCGCGACCCCGCGCCGCCCGCGCGATCCCGGTCGCCACCCGGGGGGGGGTCGTATTTTGATGAGTTTGTAGAGGGGGGGTCGTACTTGCTTCGATTGTAAGAAGTTGCATGAGATGAGTGGGGAGTGGCGCGGGAGAAAATTTGCCGTTTCAGCGCGCGTGTATATATCCCCCCCCCCCCTCCCCCTCCCTTAAGAAAATGAAGCGTGGGATTATAGGTAGAGTGGGTAAAATCGACCTAAAATTTAGCGGAATTTGGTAAAAATTTTTAGCTGTTCTAGAGTGCACTACACTGCGTCCCATAATTATAACTCCACCCAAGAATTTCCCAAAATCTCACAAATTTAGATGTTTTAGAAAAAGTCTCTAATGTGGCAGTGTGTCAAATACAAATACGAAATTCCTTATAAGCATCATCTTCCAACTTGAGATCCCAGGAATTTTTTCTAATAATTTTTGTTCAAAAGGCCACTTGGCCAACGTCCCAAAATTATAACTCCACCTCATGTTTTTCTATTATTTTTCACTTCCGTTTCGCCAAACTTTTTTAATGTGCTAACATCCTACTTCTCAAGGGGACAGTATGATAGAAAATGCTGTCGGACTTTTTAAAAGGTCAGGTCATCGCAAAAACTACCAATTAGGCAATCGCACAAGATTTTGACCAAATTTACGAGGAGCTCGAGAATTTTTTCAGGGATTTTACATGATATGGAGTTGAGAAGAGCTCCAAAGGATCTCCCCTTGCTTTTCGGTAGAAACAAAGGCCGTGTCACAGAAGAAACATCCTTTTTTACGAAGCCGTGCTCTGCCATCAAATCTTCTTCGGAACTTAATGGCTCAACGGAACAATGTTTTTTGCTTGCGAATAAGTCCCAAGTTGATTCTCGAGTGGAAAACGTGGAAGGCATCATCTGTGGTAAGAAACCATGGCGGAATTCTTGCTGAGTTTTCCGGAAAGGTGCATCCGAGCCGACTGTAGTAAGGTTCGCTCTTACTTGCGATTCATTACTGATTGTCTGTCTTTCTCTTCGGCATTTTCTTTCTCCTGGTAGTGCTTCGCGAAGAGAAAAGCTACTAAGGATGAGAAAAGCACGAAAAGAAAAACAAACAAATGCTAAAACATATCGAGCAAAAGCGAACCTTACTCCAGTCGGCTCCGTTGCATCTTTCTGTGAAAATGGGCTCAATTTTCGCCATGGTTTCTTACCACAGATGATGCCTTCCACGTTTTCCACTCGAGAATCAACTTGGGACTTATTCGCAAGCAAAAAACATTGTTCCGTTGAGCCATTAAGTTCCGAAGAAGATTTGATGGCAGAGCACGGCTTCATAAAAAAGGATGTTTCTTCTGTGACACGGCCTTTGTTTCTACCGAAAAGCAAGGGGAGATCCTTTGGAGCTCTTCTCAACTCCATATCATGTAAATCCCTGAAAAAATTCTCGAGCTCCTCGTGAGAGTGATGCGTCCAAAAATCTTGTGCGATTGCCTAATTAGTAGTTTTTGCGACGACCTGACCTTTTAAAAAGTCAGACAGCATTTTCTATCATACTGTCCCCTTGAGAAGTAGGATGTTAGCACATTAAAAAAGTTTGGCGAAACGGAAGTGAAAAATAATAGAAAAACATGAGGTGGAGTTATAATTTTGGGACGTTGGCCAAGTGGCCTTTTGAACAAAAATTATTAGAAAAAATTCCTGGGATCCCAAGTTGGAAGATGATGCTTATAAGGGATTTCGTATTTGTATTTGACACACTGCCACATTAGAGACTTTTTTTCTAAAACATCTAAATGTGTGGAGTGTGAGATTTTGAAATTCTTGGTGGTAGTCAATAATTATGGGGACCTAGTGATATACCCCCGTCGACGGGTTTTGGAGGAAAAAGTGGACGGGCGGCGGGGTTCTGATGGAAAATGGAGATGGAGGAGGTAAGGGAAAGGGGTCGTATCAAATCCACCATGGGGGAGGGGGGTCGTAAAAAAATTTCGAAAAGTAGCAACGATAGGACCGACCCCTGTGGTGGCACTTTTAGGAGCTTTCTATCGCTCAGCCCGCGAGGATTTCACGATAAGGTCGAAGGTCGAAGAAGGGGATAATTACCCAGTGGGGAGACAGGCGGACCTCCTGACAAGGAGGCCTTTTCAGGGCAAGCCGCGCTTTTTGGAAATGGTTTCTTGCATATTGTAGGGACGCATATATGGACTACAAAACCGTGTTTCGTTTTCGCTGAACGGTTTTAGTAGTATCAAAAAAGTGGTGAATGCACCCTCGATGGTTCGGTCCCCGCGCGCGACTAGAATTCTGCAATCAAGTTTAGCGGCCACTTGATAGCTTCAAATGGTCCTAGTCGATAATGTTACGCCTGACGATAAATATTGACATCTGATTTTGACATTTAGCGCGATTTGGCACCAAACCGTAGGCGCCAACCCAAATGCAAAATTTAGTCGCCACGGGGGATCGAACCATTAACAGTACCTTATGCTTCTTTTTTGGTACTGCTAAAACCGTTCAGCGAAAATGAAACATGGTTTTGTGTTCCCTACATGCGTCCCTACAATATGCAAGAAACCGTTTTGAAAAAGCGCGGCCTTGCCCTGAAAGACCTCCCTTGTGAGAGTGCAGACTGACACGCAAGCCAGCGAAACATCTGACCTCGGCGATCCCTTGAAAGTCAAGCAATGGTGGAGTATCTCAGGGAGAAAATCCACCTACCGTTTCTTACATGAATTGATGTTTCATCTTGAATGCGTTCACATAAAAGTCTTCTGGCTCTGAAAAATTACCGAGCGCATGACGCATAGTTTGGTTTTTAACCAGTTCATCCTTTCCTGTCAAGTTCACTTTCCACTGACAATGAGCAATTTTTAGTGCGAATCTGGCAGCTCGCCAGGTCAAACAGACTCCCGCTGATTGGACGGTTGCGGCTCAGGAGGCGTACAAACTACTTGTCGAATGTGGTCGAGATCTCACGAATACTCCATCACCACGTTCATCTCCCTCAGTAGATCAACTGGTAATCGTTTGAAGAAGTGAACCAAATTGCACTTACTCGACGAACTTGCAGCCAGTTGCCCTCACGAAACGTGCGGGAAACTTCGTCCGCAAGGTTTTGCAACCGGCAGCAGCTGCAAGTTCGCCAAGTATAAATGCGAGCTGGATCGCATTTTTGGTCAAACATTTGTTTTCTGATGCAGCAACTTTTAGAAGCGGATAACCGTCATCGAGAACAAGCCGGCAACGTCAGCGTCAGGATCGCCGGTGCCACCACGACCAGCCACTCCTCCGCACGTGAAGACTCGCGAGTCGTCCGTCGAATCCAGCCAAACCACAGAGGATGTTACGAGTTACTCACCGCAGAAACGAGTTCACCTCATTGAGACGAAACTGTTGACCACGACAGCAGCAGAGGAGGTAGGAATCGAATATTGATTTTGTCTCAAAGCCGATCAATAATTTTCGCTCACGGTTTCCCAGAGGTAAGCCAAGCCGCCTCTGAGACCAAAATTCATGAAGGAATGTTTAGATTTTGTACAAATGGTATGTGTAGATTTTGAAACGGGAAAGTTTTTCGTTGAAATTACTATTTTTGAAATATTTCACTCTTCAATTCGTATCATTGCATTTAGAACTTTTTTACGCCAATTTTTATTCTTTACAGTCGCTTAACTTTTCAAGTGAAGTTTTGAGCTTATACGTTATTTATTTGTTTATTTATTTATTTAATGCATGTAAGCATGCGCTACTGCCAGGCCAAGACATAAGTAAATAAATATAAATACACCAGTTGGCGCAGCACGCGTTGCGCGCGCAACACAGTTCTGCGGCGATATGCGAAGCACAAATCCATGACTCGGCGAAGTCCCGGAGATCGGGAAAAAGGAGTATGGAGGTGGGTGGAAGGAGTGGAGTCCATCTGTCATCGGGGCGGGGCATGACCAAAATGGGCGGAGTTATCCACGAAACTTTATAAGTAGGCTCTAAAGGGTCATGGAAACCGGGAAAAAGCGAATAGAGGTCGGTCAAGGGAAGGAGGTCGATTGCCCTTGGCAGGCAAGGTTTGCATCAAAGTGGGCGGAGTTTGCCAGAACTTCATAACTCTGCCAGACCTACAACTCGGTTCTAAGAAGTCCCGGAAACTGGGAAAAAAGTGGATAGAGGTCTGCGATGGAAGCAAGGGTAACTGCTGTAAGTGGGCGGGGCATGGCCAAAGTGGGCGGAGTTTTCGACGGAAGTACATAACTCGGTTCCAAGAAGTCCCGGAGACCGGGAAAATAGTGGAAAGAGGTGGGTGGAGGAGTGGAGGTCAACTGTCTTGGTAGGCGGAGCATGACTAAAGTGAGCGGAGCTCGGCTGCAAAACTAAAAGTCGGTTCAGAGATAGTCCGGAAACCGAAAAAAGGTGGATAGAAGCCAGCGAAGGGAGAGAATTCAATCTTCATTGGTGAGCGGGGTATGACCTAAGTGGGCTGGGTTTGTTGCCAGACCTATAAAGTGGTTCCACGAAGCTCTAGGAACTGGAATAAAGTAGATGGAGGCCGGCAAAGGGAGGGAAGTCAATTCTTATTTTGTGGTTGAGATGCACTAAAGTGGCCGCGTTAGCCGCCAAGCATATAGGTATGCTCAGGGTCAGTTCAGAGACCGAGGAAAACGGAAGCTATTAGCAAGGAAGAAAAGGCTGGGTGAGACATGCACCGAAATAGGCTGAGTTTCATTTTTCAAACGGGGGGGGGGGAGATTTATAAATCGGTCTAGAGGCAGTCCGGAGACCGGAAAAAGCGGATAATAGTTGCGAAGAAGGAGAGTTAAGAGCTATTAATTATGGAGCGGATAGAACCTAGCTCAGAAGTCAAATATTCGTAGTTTGTCGGGCCAAATTGAGAATTTACGCCGCACCATCG